TATGAAATGTATAGATTAGGAAAACTTTGGCGGATTTCAGTCTGATTCGATTGTTCCCTTCAGTGATCTCCAAAATTTTGCTGGCTTCACTTTGCCCATTTATAAAATTGATTCAGTAACCATATAACCTACTCTATTTTCAAAGCTCGCTTTACTGATGGTATTTTTACAGCTGCTAAGATGATTCGAGGTGTTTCGAGGATCATTAATGGCCAAACTGAAGATATTTGTGTCCAACGATTCTTTAAGCATTCAGACAGTCTTTTTTTATATTTGAAAGCAAAAATTTAAATTTTTTATAAATTCTTGTGGATGAACGTAGGAAAAAACTAAGGGAAAATTGGAAGAATTTTGTAAAAAGTAAAGAATTTGGGGAAGAAAAATTAGTAAAATGAATCGAATTAGCATTATTATTCGAAGAGAAAGCATTTCATAAACGTTTAAGTGGTTGTTAGATAGATCAATTGGTGCTTAAAAATAAACAATTTACAACTTGTGAAAATAAATAATAAACAATTCACCAGTTTTTTTCAATGTATTTTAACTGACACTTTTGTTCGATAAGCTTTAAAATAATCGGAATTTATTTGTAATCGGAAAATCGGCGAGAAGTGACTAAGCAAGTGGACGAACGGGCAACAGTGTGCACTTAATTAAGGGGGTGCGTTTCAAAATTTATGCAAATTTCCGTGTATTTTACGCAGAAAAGGAAGAGCAGAATGAAAATTTTTCCAATATTTAATATAAAATTTAGGATAAAATCGCCAGGAATCGCCGGGAAGAAAGTAATCACTGAAAAAATTCGCATGCATCTGAGCATTTGCTTGGAGCCGAAACAGCTGAGTGCTAACTTCGCTGGCTATTAGCGAAAAATAAATTTTGTTTGCCTATTTTATTTTCGCAATTTATAATTCAATTAAAAAATCTATCAATCGATAATTTCTAAAAAATCTTACAATTTACTTATTTTTTTCGATAGCTTTTTTTCGCTGACAAAAAAAATCAAAATTGTCAAAATAATATTAGGTGAAAACCAATATACTTCATATATAAGGCACTGCATACTTTTGGCTGACAATCTCAGTTTCCTGGCTAAACCGTTTTTTTCATCATTTTCATATTTGAATCTATTAATTAGAGATCGTAGCTAAAGGTGAACATCGCTTGCCGCTTTCACCTTCAGCAAGTGACCATTTCCTCAGGTTTTCATATACACCAAGAAATAATCATCCTGAACATCATTTCGGAATAAAATCAAAAATAATTACTAATAAAAATTTTGCCACAGTTGATGCATCTCTCACAATATTATCTAGCTTATCTGAATCAGTGTTGATGAACTTCACCGCGAAATTCTTGAAATTTTGCTAAATTTTGATAAATTTCCATAGGCGCTACACTGACATAATTCTATTATTTTTTTGATATAAATATGTATGCATAGCCAAGAGACAAGAGCTGAAAAAAAAAATTATAAAAGATCGAAGCAAAGTAAGTCTGCTTAGGCTTTTCGGGTCGCATTTATTTAATTTGAGGGGCTAAATTTGAGAACTTCAACAACACTGATTCCAGGTTCTTTGGCAGTGTAGGTCAGATCAATTGCATTTTTATGTGAAAGTTTGTTCAAGTTCGTTCAACGAATGTTTAATGCTGGCAAACAAAATGCGTGCCATAATCTAATTAATATTTAATTCCTTAAGTAATGGAAAAAAATATCGTCAATAAATTGGATTTCAAAGGCAATGCTAGCCAAGGCAATTCGTTTGTCACCCCCTTACTTATTCCTTTTATATTTCCTTTAGAAAGAATAGGCAGTATTCCTTTGAAACAAACTACTTAAAACAAAGAACCTTTAAATTTAAGAATTTTAAGTGAGCGAAATTTATTTTTAAATATATTATTTCTCATTTCTTCATATATTATTTCTCATTTCTTCTGTTGGTTCTACTTTTTTAAATGTCATTTAAGGATATTTTGCTGCGATTTGTGTTGAAATAATGCTGATTTTCTTAACACTAATTTCTTTTTTTGCGCATCACGAATTTTCATCAATAGATTATAAGACAAGTCATGATGGGAAACCATCTATACTTATATCCCCATGTGACTAACAAAGATGTCTCATCCTGATAGTCAGTGGAACTAGCCAAACTAGAAATGGCGAGTGCTGTTAAAATTCGTCATTTAGGAAATTTTTTAATGCATGTTACAACGATCTATGCGAAGCAACTTTCAGTTTACGCCTATCTTAATTCGCCATTGATAACTTTTGCTGGGATAGAGACTTTTTTCACGACTTTATGTGGGAAATTAGGCTTAATTTAAATATATTTATGTTTATCACAATTGTTTACTCTATGGTAACAGCCATAATAACCAAATAGATAGTAGAATCTAATTTATTGATAAATTTTTAGTAAATTTTGTCAGACTACCCACGCTATTTATTTTTACAACGAATGAGCTATCAAGATATTTAAAAATAAGAGGCAAGAACCAGTAATATATTTCAATTAATTTAATTTATATTTTGTAACCAAAAATTTTTTTTTATATGTCACTTTTTAGAGAAAATCAGATCGCAGCATATTAAGCGACTTTGAACAGTGTCTTTGATGAAAAACACAGCCTTAGAAGCCCTAAATCATTTGTCATTAAGAAATATTGCTGAATAGTCGCGAAGTTAAAGTGTCAGAAATTCAGTTAAATGAAATATCGGATGAAGCTGATAAACTCGCTGATAACTGCATCAAGTGCATGCGAATATAAAAAATTTTTCTAGCAATGCTTTTCAATAAAATAGAAATAAGAAATAAATAAATTTTGTGTTTTTTATATTTTCTGATTTTTGAGAAAATTTTAAATAAAAAGCTAAAATAAAGCTTTTTTAGTTTTTATAATCACTGATTATTTTAATGTTAGAATGACAAAGAAAAAAAATTCCGCTGGCTATTAAAAAGAAAGACCTATATAATATATATTTATTGTTTATTCTGAAATTTAATAGCTAATTATGAAAAAAATTGAATTTCGACATATAGAAAGCGCAAAAGTTTTAGAAAGCTGAGGTACAAATCAAGAAACAAATTAAACGGCAACGAGAATTGCCGAGATTTTGACCGAAGTTAACAGTTCAAGACAATACAGCAGTCTACAAAATGAATCACTTCAATATAGTTCAACTCAAATAGCACGAAGCTTTCATCAGACATTTCGCACTGAACGGCGAATAGATTTTCTCAGTTATAGAGGATCAAATAATAGGAAAGCATTGGCGAGTCGGCAAGAGAGTGGGAAGAAATCATCAGATTCACACGACAATGAGCTAATGAGCAACGAAAAAAGAAAAGTGAATTGAGAAAAATTACTGTCAAAGAAGTGATTAATTTGATACCTTGTAATAATAATTAATGTTATAATTTGATACCTTGTAAAAAAAGTGGAGAGAAAATCCTCCAAACAGAACCAAACAAGATTGGATTTTAAAAGCGCCTTTTGCATTCGATGATTCGGTGATTCGGTGAGCGCATATGCAAAAATTTTTCAAAATTAGATTTAAAATATTCCTAAAAATTATTATTATTATTGATCATTGTATTGCATTTGATTAATGGGTCCAATCAGTTTTGTGCATTTGCGACAGCAAATTCTCCAGAGACGAAAGCCGAAATAAATTATTCACAACGTCGTCTTTATAAATTAGCTTTTTATTTAAATAATTATTGAAGTAATAATTATTATTATAATTTTTGGATAATGCAGTGGTAGCATCATGAAATTGGCCGCACATTAGAAATAAAGAAATCAATTTAGACCATATACTGATAATTTACAGGAATTAACCAATTTATTTATAGAAAGCCTCAGAATTAGAATAGTCGAATTTTCCTTGTTCTAACTTTTACGTTAGAATCTGCTGAATCTCGTCACCAGGACTCACCAGGAATGTCATATGAATCATAGGCAATTCTATAGCAGCAATCTCTAATCATATTTCTTTTGTAAAGACAAATTTTTGCTAAGATAAGGGAGTAAATCTTAGAGCAAAATCTGTGATGGCTTGTCTAAATGAATTGACCAACGTACTATTCGACCAGAGAGTAATCGAATTAGTTAAACAAAAAATGAGAAAAAGTTTTCCTTGGACAAGAAGGCCGAGGCCAAGCTTTTTTTCACTTAAATATAAAATCTTGTAAAATAAATGTATGAAAATATTGAACATAAAATCTCAGTCGCATATTCAACGTTTTATGATGAATCGTATCCGCTGTTCTATTTATCGAAGCAATTCGGCATTACAAGATAATTTACATTAATAATTGTATATAAAAATTATATTATATTTGTTAATTAAATGCTTTTTTTCGATTAAAAATATATGTGGTTGGAGGAATTTTTTTCTCATTTTCTTCATCGTCAATACGTATAATCGTTTCAGCGCATCTCTGAAAAGGATTTTCGATCATCTAACAATAATTTTAAGCGGTGGCTTAACCTATAAAGTGGAAGTTGATTATATAATACCCTAGTTTTGAAAATAAAAGGCTAGCACTGTGACTGACTTGAGCCATATTTTCAGAAAATTCAATAAATTCAATTCAACACTGGCAAAAATTCAAATGATTTATTAAATGATAAATTATATTTACCGCACCTTATTACCAATCTGTAGTACTAAATCAATAATATTATTCAACCTCAGTTATCAAATCCAATGTCTTAAAAGAGTATTTATCAAGTATATAAATACTTATTCAGCGAAGTACTTATTATATAAATACTTATTGCTGAATAAAACACTTCAATCTTATGCTCAAATGTACGATTAGGACCATCTCTTGTTAAGGTTCAACTTGTACGGTTCAGGAATTTTTACTAAGGAATTCAGCCACTTGACAAAGAAGTACAGATGGATTAGCACAACTCGGATTTTCTCATTCCTGTTGCTCAATTCCTTGCATTTTATGATAATGGAATCGCTATTGACACTGCTCTATCCTCTACATTTCAGGTAGAAGAAAATTGCTTTCAAAAACCTTTGCAAAAAAACCAATTGAACTATTGGCATCTGATTCAATTGATCGCACACAATTTATAATCCCAAGTTGTTGAAAAGCAGGCAAATAATTGCGCTTCTCAACAAGAATATTCTCAATAGCAAATAGTGCTCTTTCGATAAGATATCGCTCTTTTGTGAACGCGAATATAACCGGAATAGCACTCGGCAAGCAGGTGCAACATAACCATTCTAAACGCTGCACACTTGCATTTCTCAATGCATTTACTATTGTCCAACTGCACTCCTGAAAATTCTCCATTTTTTTAAAAATAATTTAAAAAGTTTTTATGTGAATATTTCTTTACGCTTAATATTATTCCAAAAGTGGTGTGGTGTACATAGCTGATTTAACTGATATTTAACTAATAATAATTGCACTAATGACAATGAATTGGTAAAAATAACGGATAATAATCGTTAGAAATAATCGTTAGAAGAAAGATTTTGCGATCTGACAATATATAAGATTAAACGAAGAGAAGACAGACCATATATAAATGTAATGAATTTGCCATATATTTGAACATTAAGTTTCTTTTTTTTTAATTCATAAATTATGCAAATTAACAGTTGATTAATGGTAAAGATATTTCTTCTCCAAACAACTCTCATTGCCGGTTAAATTGATTCAGCTGGTTGAAAAAAATAAGGCAATAAAGCAAAATCTGATGTCATACCTGAGGGAAATTACATTTTTCCGTCGTAGGAGGTATTATATCGCTGGCTGCCTATATGTTCAAAACCTCTTTTGACTGTCAATCTAAGTTTTGATTGATCATCCTCTTTTTTTGGTGTTCATCAAAAAACTTGGCAAGAAGTGATATATGCATTAATTCCTGTGGGACAGCGATGGATATGGCCTAACCAATATGGGCGACATAGGCCACATATGTGACGATATTATTAATGTAGATGAGCATAGATATATGGTGATTATATTTTATCTGTTTGGGAAAAATGTTAAATATTAAATATGTTAAATGTTTAAAATGCATACGACAAAAATATATGGTCTCTTAATAACTCCCATACGCCATGTTAGCCAGATGACTCGCAATTATAGCAAGTTAATAAGTACTGAATCTATAAGTACTGCATCTATTGTTATAAGTTGTTATATATAAGTTCCGTTTTGACGGTGATTTAGCTATGATTCCATCGAGATTTTGCCAGTAATAGTAAATATTACTATTAAACTTATTATTTCTGCATTCATTAGTGCAGCCTACTCGCAAGATATTTTTTTACGGAAAGAGATCACATGGGCATCTTTCACGGGCCATAACCTTTTTTGTTTTTTCCATATTTACTAACCCACTTACCTTTTTCATCCGTGAATCGTTAGAGGATATTCCTTCTATCAATATTTTATCTATATCGTCAATACCAAAAAGGAGATCGACTTGAGCTTGCGATCCAGCAGCTATATTGCTTAATATCCAGATAATTTCACATCGAAATATATTTGAGCCTTCTTTTGTTCTATATAATCGAACCTATGAAAAAAATTTTTCGACTATTCTTTTTATGCCTTCTCTTTATATTTTACACCGATACCATAAATATGCCATATCTTTTCATATTTCAATCCTCAAATCCTCAAAATTGATTTATCAAATTTATTTAGATTATTTCTTACTTAAAATTTAAGCCAATTTAATTTCTAATCTGCTAGCAAAAATATATTAAATTGTAGTTCTGTAAAAATGAATTTAAAATCAAACTAAATGTGACAAAAGTCCTGCATTCAGCACTCGCTGTGTATCATCTTCCTCGCCAGTTACAAGATTTCCTAATGCAAGCAGCGCAGGATGCATCGCTTCATCGTCGTAAAGCAGTTCAATCAGCCTTCTCACCAAATTTGGAGTTTGAAGAATTGTTTCAACCTTATAGTAATAATTGATCGATAAAAATATTTTTATATTTGTAGTGCTTTTTTCTTTAAATTCTTGAAAGAAATATCCAAAAAATCGAATAGAAAGATTTATTATGCTTTTGGTGGTTAATTGGAAAAGCATTCTCATACAGTCACCGAAACAATTGGGTTTAATTCCCTCTTGTCTTCAAAGTACTGAAAATAAAAACCTCATATATGTATCACGAAATGGCTGGTAAAAATCTGTCTAAATGCTACTCTCTTTTATGAGAATCTTTCATAACGAACTGAAAGCAGTGGCTATTCACCATATAAAACAATTTCTAACTTTGTGTTATCTACTTTTTCACCGCATGGAATACCCCATTTTAGAAGTATAGCTTCTATAAAGTATATTTTTGCATTTAAGTATTTTGCATTTTAGATTCCTACAAAATTCCTTACTTCTCCACCACCATTTATTACATTTTCAGTGATATACGCGATCGACCACGTTGCATCTGTTCTTAGAAGAGGATCTTCCATACATAAAATTTTATGCAATCCTTGAAATAATGCGATACTAACCTGACAAATTTGTTACTTTCTTAAAATGTCAATGTGATTTAGTGTTTTATACCATTTCTTCGTCTTTTTTTATAAAATATTTAACAAAAAAATCAATGAAAAATCAATTAATAAAGTGGCCTAAAATATTATACCCACCTCTTATACAAAATAAATATTTTTTAAGATAGGATAGAAAAGAATGAATAAAAACTTTACTCCTCGTAAAAGTGGTTGAATTCCACCTCTCACTATTTGTGATAATGCCCAAATGGTATTTCGTTTATGTTTCGATGACATGAAGTCAGGTTTTTGGAATAAAGCAGTCAAAGCATTTAGTGCTCCACTTTGTCGTACCTATAATGTTTCAGTGTATCAAAACAAGAAAGTGATAATCTGATGGCATATAACGAATGCATTATTGTATATACAGATAGATTTTTTTTTAATCCTCACCACTGCTGGTGAAACACGCTCAGCTGGCTTGTCGCACATTAGACAAATATGCCAGCGAAGTCTCTTGGCGATAGAAATACAGGTGAGTCCCCAGCATCACGGATTTTTGGACAAGTTTACTCCTGCAGGGAATAGAACCTCAGCATCGGCGCTCCTAATTTAGCAACAATCCACTGAGCAATTCTATCCCTATAGATTAAAAAAAAGAAAAACATTTCTTATCAGCAAAAATTGATTGCAAAATTAGTGCAAAAAATATAAAATATTTTAATATAACCAAAAATAAATACCACACTTTAGAACGGCACTGTTCACAATCCACAGCGATATTACCAATTGCCCAAAAGGCCTGATCTCGCGTTTCACTATCCTTCGAAAATAATCCGCAAGCAATAAGTGCTTTAACACCACCCTTCAATATGGCTAAAGCTATTTCGCAAAAAAATTAGCAGAAATAAATCTGTTAAAAAATGAAATTCATATTACTCTTGATAACCTATATTTACTTGAATATAATCAAGCAGAGCGGCAAGAATGTTTAAATTAACGACAATTTGTGAAGCGGAATGAAATTCGAAATACCGATTCAAAATACACGAAAGGTGCCAAATACCAAACGTTAGCAATGTAAAGGGAAAAGGCAAAAGGAATAACACCAATCTCATAGAAATTATTACTTGCATGAGCCTAATAATATCATGGATAATAATTATTTAATCTTTTTTTAAAAATGGCTAATGATGATGCATTATGTCTCTGGCCAGCTTGCTTCAATAATTAACGGTATGAATCAAAAAATTACAAGTTCTTAACTGAAATATGTTTCAATAATTTTAGTCCATTAAGTCTCAGATTTGGATTCAGATTTAACCTATGTGAAACAATCTGACTTGAAATGACCGTTTAAAATTTTAAGTAGATAAATTGTTTAATTTGTCAGACTATAAGTGAGAGTTATGTGATTGAAGTTTATAATAATAACTAATGACTGATTTTATAATTATTAATTAGGAGAGAGGCAAAGCAAAAAGTAAGTATTTCTGCCAAAGGAATAAGTTAGGCATACTCAAGGAGAGATCAAATGATTGCTTGTTATTTTTAAACAGCCTAAAAATAAAATTTTATGTTTGTTAAGATTTTTCAGTGAAAGACGAAATCAAGATTTTCATCAATAATATCACCTGAAATATTCGATATGATTCGATATTTTACTATCATTAATAAAAAGTAGATGAAAATCAGATTCTTTCGAATTCATATACAACACATTAACTTTTGAATATAGTGGGCAGTTAATCATACAACCAGTTGACAATTCTACTAAGACAACATACACAGATTGTCCGATCTTCTATGAGAATTGTAAATTTTACAATCAACAGCATAGGGATAATAATAGAATTTAAAAAAACTTTAGTAATCATCAATGTATATTAAAAAAAATCAAAGACTTGTTACAATTACTTTGAGAAGGATTTAATCTGACAAGAGTTATTAACACGTTGGCTTCCGTATTGTGAATAATCTGGTGTCCAAATTAAATCCCCAGTAATGCAATATTTATTTACGATTAATAACAATGGTGTTACTATGGGAAACGGTGTTAAAAAGCCAGATCAAGATTTACAATATTTTTTCATTTTGCTGACCAATCAAAAAGATTAGCCAATGTCGGTGCAAGGAGTGGGCTTTTTTGTGCAAAATCCAGCTGACAAGAGGAAGTTTTGGCATCAAGATTACTGCAGCTTTTTGCTTCCTCAGTATTCAGCTACCAACGCACATTAGACTGATAGGCCTTTAAAGGATCACATTTTCTTACTTATGGATGGAAATTAAGTGGAGCAATTTCCAGATTCTTGGATCTTATAATATTCCTTATAAATTAAAAATAGATGGAAACTTGAGGAAAGTGCGTATTTATAAAATATCTGTGGAATATATTAGGACCAACTGATATTTAAGTTTATTCTAGTGAAGGAACCGTAACAGTTCATTTTCATTAAAGAAAATGCTATGAATCGTATTGAATATACTGCAACGTCAAAAATGATCATATTATTATGTAGTAAAATTATCATTATATTACATTATATTATCATTGTGCTGTAGAATTACTTGTTTTCGTGGATTTGCAAATTTTTTTAAACATTCTAAAAAGAGGCCTGCAGTTATTTAAAAGTTCGTTTTTATTTGAGAACTATAGATAGCATTATGGAAGTTTCTAAATTGCATTTATTATATACAGATTAGGTCATTTAGCAATTTGGTAATTTATAGAGCCTCTTCTACCTTTCTTTAGATTTTAGATTTTAAAGAAAGGAGAACAAGCCTAAAATCATTTTTTAAAGGAATATATTGCTTTACGAGGCTCTACTTTTTGGTGTATAGAATCAACTAGACAAAATATGGTCCCAGTTTATTTCTGAAAATAATCAACTAGTTCCTATTAAATTATATCTAGCAGGAGATAAATAATAATATAGGATAAAATAATAAATAATAATATAATTCATGAACAATATACAATAGTTCTTGCAAAAAAGTTCATTAGGAAAAAGTTCACGAAAAAAGATGGGGGCAATACAGGGTTCACATGGTGTTGCATACAACTATTTTCTTAATCTATATTTGACATGAAATCACTAAATTAAATTAAATAATCACAACCAAATAATTTTAATTAAGAAGTCATAAAGAACTACGGTGAATTTTCTTCGATAGTATGCTGAGCGATATAAATAAGGGAAAAATATTCCTATTATCAGATAAATTTTAGTTACAAGAGATTCAAGAATAAAGGAAGAAAAAAAAGATCAGGTGAAAAAAAGACATAAATAATCATCGACGATTGCACGCAATAACTTGGAACAAGCATGGACAAGCCCTCTTCCATGTAATCAGCCATTTGCTGCTCTATATTTTTGTCTTTGTCCCAAAATAACTCTCTAACGAAAGGTCTATCTAAACCTGTTCGTAGGGAAACCAACAAAATCAGAAAAAATGCATATATTAAAAAACAAAGGATAAATCTTTCGTTATTGGCCTCTTCTTTTTGAAATAGTTAAAATTTTTTAAGCGATTCTACAATTTCTCGATAAAAATTTGCTTTGAACGACTTGTTCACTTCTTACATCTCTTTAAATGCAAAAAAATTTATTGCTCCATATGTTCATATTTTTAAGGAAAAATTAGATAAGATTATTTATGGCATGATTTAGATTTTTCTAAACTTTTCCTGGTACCACACTATGCCCCATCTATGCCCTTTTTTCATTTATTTTTTAACATTGCTTGTTATAAAATTCCATCGACTTTGTTTTATCATTCCCCTCTCATATGTTATTTTGTTATTATATTGTTATTTTTGCAAGCTTATGATGCTTATCGCCCTGCTTGGCTGTTTTCTGAATAAATAGATAAATGCAGTTCTTCAAGTATTTTAAGAATCGTAACCAACATATTCAATGATCGTATGACATATGTGATGCGGTAAACAAGCAAAATTTGTTAGTGCCCAAGCAGCATCTCGCCGAATATTGCCATAGTTCTTCCGTAGACACCATATAAGTTTCTTTATCTAACAATTATTATCTAATCAAAATATATTTTTTATTTTATAATTAAGCCCAAATCACCAGTTAAAAAAACTCGCTGCTGTAATGCAGCAACATCTTCTATTCCATAGGCTGTCTAAGAATATTTCAGGCAATTCAAAGATTTTTCAAAGATATAAGGGATGACTTTTTTTAAATCAGTGTGGTTTCATGGAATTCAGAAAAATTAACCAACGGATAAACAACAGATACTGATGGAAGAGTTCCACTGATAGATAAATGGCGGAAATATTCAGCGGCGCTTGCCTATAATCATAGATAATTAAAGAATTTATTACCACTGGGATGCAAAAAATATTTAAGCTGAACGCTTATTATTCGTTCAGTTCTTCTTCTACTCGCCATTTCTGTTCTCACAGTTATCAGTGGTTTTTTGATTGATAAAAGTATTGAATATTCATATTGAATATTCATTTTCAGCTAACTTAAATTGCTGTTAGTCTTCTCTTAGTATCCTCATTAATGATTATCTAATGACCACGAAGACATTCACTTTCAAAACGTCATATTATTTTATAAAACACAATAAATTTATTGTCAGTTTCAAAGCGCGGTGGATATTGTGCGGCTAAACGGATTTGTTTTTTAGCATTTTTTCTAGTAATCACTGGCACAGGTGTGGCAAAATTACAGGCATTATAGATGGAGATCTCCATTATTGGTAGGGAAATAAGCAAAAAATGCTTGTTTATTACCTGAGCAAGTAGGGTGCTCGAAGGCGAAAGCAAACGAAGATATAAGCGGATTTCGCTAATATTTGGCTTGAAGAAATTCGTGCTATCGCTATCAACCGAAACCAATAATTTCGACATTTCAGAAATCTAATGAAAACAACCGTTTTGAATATAAATTTAAGAAGCAATGAATTTGGATAACAAATTTATTCGCAAGTTTATGCAAAAAAAGAAACATAAATTGACTGCATTTAATTTAGTCAACATATTCACTATTTTTTCTCTTTTTGCCGTCATTTTCGCTTTCAGCCTTGAAATGCACGGGCATGACTGTGAGGGCTTGCAGATGTCTTCGTAATGCTTTGATTTGACTCAGTTATACTTTTACCATTCCGCAAGAGTTTAACTGGAGATCGCGAGTGTTGCAGAAAAAAAGTTAGAGCCGTAAATAATTTTTCTTAATATTATGTTTGTAGTTCGTTGGCAACAATAGAAATAACTCTCAGTAGATAAGATGAGTCTCTGGCAATTGGTTAAATTAAGCGCACTTCCATTAAGTGCGTGACAATTAATTTTTTCATGATTTTTGCAGGGAAAAAAAGTTTAGTGGTCAAACTATTGACGCAATGAATTACCTTTGGGAACGCCTGATTTAACGGATGTCACATCAGAAAGAATGTTGTTGTTAACACATATCCTCAGATCTTTTTTATGTAATCTGACGATTTTTTATATAATCTGACGCCCAGATGTACAAGTCCTGTAGTTCCATAACTATAAAGAGTGACCAACAACTTTCTATGGGAAAATAATATCAAAAGCTTTGGCTAAATCTAAATACATAACTGAAACTGTTTTTCCATTATCAATTACCAATCAAATGACCAATCGAAAAGATTTGCCAAGTAAATTTTTTCTTAAGGTATTAGATAGATGGATTGTTGGCATCAAGATAAGTAAGCAACTTGTTGTAAATCATCTTTTCCAGTACTTTGCTATCGACACATGTTAGGCTAACTTAGAAGGATTACAGGTCACAGGATCACAGCAATATTAATAATTTTGTTCAATTAATTTTTTAAATATTGATATTCTAGTAGATACTGATGGTGCAAAAACCATATTAGCAAGCAATTTCTTCCAGTAGTTAATACCATGAATGAAAAAATTTTGGGAAGTCCCTTTAGTTTTGCACATACGTTTCTTCAATCCACTGCGCCTAATATTATTCAAAATTTTCAAGTTTATCAGTTCTATTAATTTAACCATTTCTTCCAAATGAACCAGTACAATTGATAAATAAAAATTTTCTATGCCTAAATATTACTTTTTCTTCCATAAAATGTGAAATAAATTTATCAAATAATTTTAATAATTTTAATTTTGATTTAAAAAATAATTTTGATTTTTAAGAATGGTTAATAATGAATAATTTTTCAGTGAAAATTTCTTAATGTGTCCTACCTTTTTTTGATATTCCTGTATTTGATCAGCACTTTTTGTGGCCGAACACTGGCCTATTGTTTTCTTCGATTTTACTATGCGAATTTGGCGAATTTTTACGCCAAAAAAAGAAAAAGAAGTGTCTAAGAAATGAACAACTCTTGTTTCACCTTTCTTTGGAGGCCGATCGAGGAATTCAAGCGAGGGCTTCTAACAGCTTCAAATAAGCATTCCATTAAGAAATCTAGGTGGTTGGAAATGGCCTATTTATTTGCACTGTCGTCACCAAGTCCCTAGTAAAAATTTTTAACCGTGTAAAACCAGTGGAGGAGCTTAACGAGAAATGGTGAGAGCTATTTTATTTCAAAATATAAGAAGAATTTTTTCTTTCTTCATTTAGCGGATTCACATAAAATTTGTAAAATTTAAAAATGCACATGGAAAAAAAGCCAAAAATGTTCACATTTTAGTTAGAAAACGGTTGCAGTTTACACATAAATTAGCTTTAATCTCGGAGTCTGCACATAGGGGAATCCAATGCGAAACAAAATCGCGACCCTGGCAGGACTCGAACCTGCAATCTTCGCCTCCGGAGGGCGACGCCTTATCCATTAGGCCACAGGGCCACGCCCACTGTTACGGGCATAATGCTATTTGTATCTTTTTTCATTTGTTTCCCTTTCAGTTTCAAAATAAATTTTTATAATGCTATCTTGCGATCACCGAAAGGAGAATGTGTGTGTTATCTTAAACAATTACCTTTTCAGCATGGTGAATCGGTACCTTATTCTCGAGTTGGAACCAACAGTGTGTCATGAACAACTTAAAATAAATAAATCAGTCAGTGCAAAATAATTCAGTTCAGTCACACTTCCCTTCGGCAGCAGTATCACCAAGTGGTGAATGCAAACGCTGCGAGATCACCTAGCGAAATTCATTTGCAGTTCGCCCGAATCGAATGCGAGCTTTCTCAAAATAGTGTTGGCAAACCACTTGGTTGCACACGCACCTCACCGTTATCGTACTGAAGCTGTTGCTTCATCTTCAGTGATTGAGATGGTGTTTCGCCATTCGGCGACATTTGTTAAATTGCATTCCTAGTATTGTGCCTATATACAGACATCATCAATTTTTCTTATATTCACTTCTATTTACTTTGATTTTGTTATTAACATTAGCAAATGGCTTGTTCTTCGTTTAAATAAATGAGCAAATAAAAAGTGGAACTTTGCTTATAGATTCTATTTGTGTCAATGTCTTTGATAAGCTTATCATTAAGATAAGTCAAATTTCAAATTATTTTCTACGGTAAAAAAGCGATTATTTTGATAAGTAAATATCTAAGGAACAAAATTCATTCATAAAATAGGAAAATTTGTAAGGTGCAAACATTTATATATGAGGAGACTGCATTACACAAAATCGATCACATCTAAGACTTTTCGCTGTGTTTTTGCCTTCTGCTGGTGTCAGTTGGTGTTGGTTTCCTTGCTAATTCGACGCTAATCTTCCTTTCTTTTAATTTTTTTTATTTTTTATTATTTTTATATCTTATTTTTTTTATTTTATCTGATAATCTTACCTATTACAAGCAATAGATTTTAAATTTATATTCATTTTTTTCGCTCGTTTCAAGCCATAGATTTTGGTGTTTTTTAGGCCAAAGATTTTTTCAATTTTACTAGATCCTTATTTATGACCAAAAATAAAGAGTTTGCGATGGTTAAAACATCACCCATTAATCTTCTTATAATATATAACACTATAAACGCAAAACTATCAGTTTATCTCAAAAAATATCGTTTTTCGAGGTGAATTTCCAGCGAAATGATTTCTGACATTTATATAGTAATCTAACATTATTTGGTAAAAATAATCTGAATCTGGTAAAAATTCATTCTAATTGCCCAACAGTGGAACGTGAAGCACCATAAGAATTTGCCACAGTACATGAATTTCATCGATAAATAATGGAACTATAACAATAAGGAACTTAAACAAAGCGTGTAAAGCAATGGATGTGGAGAAGATTAAAAAAGTTTTCTAAAATTTAGAAAATCAGATAGATTTTCAAAAGTTAATGAGAAATTTGTGCTATAGACTTGAAACTCACCGAAAACACTGGATGAAATTGTTGAAAAAACAAGCTATGACAGGTATGCAATAACAATATTTTGTTATCCACAAGTCATGGAAGTTCAAATGATATGTTGGGCTGCAACAACAGCTAAACACCACCGAAGAGCACATGCTTCAGCGATCGTCTATATATGCTTCGATTCTTTTAGAAGAATCCATTTTTCGATAGTGGACGATCTTAACAGTAAAAAACAGTTTTCAAAAGAAAAACACGAGCAACAGCCGCTAAACTCGACATTGCTTTCTTCTAATAACTCTCACCATTACTGGTTAGACTGGCTTCAATGGCTACAAGGATAAGACCCTTCCAAGCGACGTGGTCTGATGCCATCGCCGACACTAATAGAAGCCATTCCATTTTCCACAATCTAAGTCCATATATTGCTGGTCCACCAACACATTTAAATCTTTTTTAACCGTATCAGTCCAGGTCTTGATTGGCCCACTTCGCTTTTGACGCCAACTGTCACACGGTTTAGCAAATAACGAAATATGCGTCAACTCCTGTGGTGGACGAGGGAGAATGTACCCTAACCAGCGAAGGCGACGCTGGTTAGGGCACATTATTATTAATACAAGTGGTATCTGAGCGAAGATGTGCGATATTATCCGTTCGACGGACCCGTAAAATGTATTTTAGGCATGAGTGGTCAAAGGCAGAATAACTTTTAATATCATCCATTCTCATTGGCCATGTCTCAGAGCCATATAGCGAAATCGAACGAATCACCGCTATATAGATGCCGACTTTCGTTTTTATGGCGATTTCACGATGGCATAAAGGTTTCGAAAAAATGCATTTCCAGCTGCCGTCATCCGAGTTGTAATATCACTTTTTGCCTGGCCATTTGGTATTAAGATGGACCCAAGGTATTTAAAATCACTTTCTCTTCCAGCAATGAATTTATAAAAAGAAGCATTTTATCAGCTTCTTGCCCATAAGACGAAAAGACTTTCGTTTATAAGACTTTTACATTAACTCTGAGTCTAATTCTCGCTGCAGTCGCTTTATTTTATATTTTATTTATTTAGCATTATTTTCATTTCGTCATAATTGTCAGCAAATAGGACTACATCATTAGCGTATTCAAGATCTATAATACGATGCTCTGGACTAATTTGGACACCTCTTGAGTGCAAACAGGGGGTATCCATTATCCAGTCTATCGCATGGTTGAATATTGTAGGAAAAAGGACACAATCTTGACGTATACCAGTTCTTATTTCCAAGGAGTCTGTCAGTTTGACATACATACTTGCGCCGATGTCCTCATAAAATGCCTTTTTGAGTCGAATGATCTTCTCTGGAACACCGTCCCGTTCCATCATCCTCCAAAGCGCCGTTCTATCAATTGAATCAAAACTCGACATTCATGGCAGAAAAATGCTACTTTGCTTGTATTGAGGAATAAAGGGAATAATACAAAGATTATGAGCTAATCATGTCTGGTAAGTTATCACTTCTAAATTTTTAGGAACAAATTTCATGGATTGCCCACAATAACTGAAGGGATGGAATCTTCCAACACCACATAATCATGCTTCAAAAAATCAAAGAGATTGCCTTGTCCACTTTATATGGCTAACTTTACCCATTCCGATTGCCATCTGTTATAATATCTCCACACCATTTAGCTGAAAAAATTTTTCTTTTGATATAAACAGTGAAGACCATTTTGAATCGTCGAAGATGTAAGAAGATGTATGTTAAAAATGAAATGGAATTCATGAATTGATTTTTAAATAGGAAATAGGAAACAGTTGTAGAAAAAGATGGTGAATGCATAACTGATTAATATTTTGCAAAGTCATTATAGATCTTTCGACTTGAATTTTCAATTGAATAACTTTATAATAATGAATCAAATTAAGCAAATTAACCACAGCTCATCTAAATGTTATGATGCATTTGCAGCAGAAGGATTTTATAGGTCTCTCTGAGCTAAAACAATCCATTAAAACGAGTGGAAACTTTTCTCAATTGCGCTCCGAATTACCTTTCCACAATTTTTTGATATTTTCTGTTAATTATACAACGATAATTTAATTTTTAAGATGCGCTTTATATTAGCATTGTTAGCACTAATTTGTTTCGCCAACTGCGCCGATGTTGCCTTACGTTCTGTAAGTGTGAAAGGTACACTACTATGCGGAAAAGAACCTTATGGAAATGCTCATGTACGACTCTATCGCGTTTCATCAAAAGGTTTGATCTTAAAATTCACAGAATGGCTGAGTGGTACTAGTGGTTCTGGCTTATTATTGTAAGCACCACTGTATCACATTTTCCCAGTAGAAACTTCTCATCAAAAAATAGCTTGGGCCGAATATATATCACTCGTTCTTTTCCTAGACTTTATCTAATAGTAAATGGAGCCGAAAATGAGTACTTAATTACGTCTCTTTGCCATTATTTTTCCTTATCATTTATTCAGCAACTTTTTAAAATTTAATTTAATTTAGGAACAAATTTCATGGATTGCCCACAATAGCTGAAGGGATGGAATCTTCCAACACCACATAATCATGCTTAAAATTTGTTAATTGAGCTGTTCAGATGATCACGAAATTTTGGAGCAAAAACAAACGCTTTCGAATGGTGAATTTCGGCTCGAAGGAAGTACTCAAGGGAGACCTGCAAATGAAACAACAATGACACCAGTTGTGCGAATATATCATAAATGTGATGAGGAGCCAGATAAAGATGTAATTTTTTATAGAGGCTTCTCATGGATTCTCAGCCTTAATCAATGGATATGATAGTTTATTTCACTTTTTCAACTGTGATTTCTTTAAAAGGAGATTTTTAAAGCCCTCTTTGCACCGGTTCTATCAAAAAAATACAATACAAATATTGAATTCAGATAAGATGGTTATGGTAGTATCCATTTAACCGTTTTATCCATTATACACATTGAATCTATATATATATATGTATTTATTATTGTTATCCATTATCCATTTAATCTCTTGATTGAACCACATTGCAGACCTATCGTCGTTTCCAACTACAAATTCCTTCCATATATGTAACAAGAAGTCGTGTGTCAAGAAATGAATACGATATAGGAAAGATCAATCTACAATTGATATATCCACGCGAAGAATCTGGCATTAGACTGGGAAGCTAAATAACAACTGTATACTAAAATTTATAGAGTTTTATCAAAATTTGTCGAATAAACTATCGAATCTGCGAAATGTCTGTCGATTACAATGAATAGTTATAAACGCCAGTTCATCAAATATAATTATTCATATAGATTGCAGTTATAATCACGAAATATTAATTATTGCTTTACTAATTCATGCTCAGATGGAACCAGCTATATCAACCACTTTTCATTTGTAAAATGAGAATAAGAAAGTGGTAGTTGAAGTACACCGCTATAGCAAGTGGTTTTGGCATCAACCAGAAAAACTAGCATTCATTGTTGCTGATTAAGTTCACCTCACTGGCTATTATGATGAAATGCCTCCATCCGATAATCACTTAAGGATAGAAGTGGACCACAGCAAACTTTTAGATTTTAATGGCAAAGCCCGTGTCGCACATTCAGGCCGAACCATGGCAAATGATACCACCACTTAATCCCTAATAGACTTTTACACACACAAACGCAAATAGTACCATTCAATAACTGGCATACAGTCCGCGCAAATGAGTAACGGGATTCTGCAATTCACAATTTTTACAGTTATACGATTCATGGCGATCTAACTTGTTCTATAAACCTATTTAATAGAGATAAGCAGTTATTTACGGTGGCCTTGCCTGGCAACTGCTGTAAGCGATCTGCAGAAACTAAAAGCTTTACCTGAAACTGAATCAAAAACGCTGAGAAGAATGCTGAGGCTCTGCTCGCACTTATGCGATTTCCCTCATCCACGAAGTGCGATATTTTTCATAGCTCGTAAATCCTACCTTCTTTTCTCTTATTGATGCTTCTTCCTGTAAGCCAATCCGATTAGCCGACCCACTCACCAAAATCTCTTAAAGAAGCTCGCATATGGTCGCCAGCGCTCACAGAATTTTCGAACCGACGAGCATAAACACTTCTCCAAAAACTTTCGAAATCGACCAATTAGATTCTTGGAAACATAGCTATAAGAATGGTAAAGGGTTTTAGATTCTCGTGGTCCTAAGACGATTTCTTGCATACGATAATATTTTCATAGGAATCAGTGATTTTTCTTGCGTCGATTCTCATTCGTGTCTCCATGTTTGCTATTAAAAGAATCTTTTCGTATCGGATTTGTTCTTCGTCAGTTCATACAACGGCTGTGAACTGTTGGCAAAGTATAAATTTTGTATAAATCTGAAAATTTTATGAAAATTATTAAATTAATTTTATTTTTTGTTTTATTTTATTATATTTATTATATTTTTTATTATATTTTATTTAATTTTATATTATTTTATCAAATTAAATTTTGTTAAAATGATAAATTTTAAATTTTTTAAATTAAATTATTAAATTTATTACTTTTATTAAGGTTTTATATAAATACAAAAACTATATTTACATTTCTTTTTAATTATAAAATTTCATCTTTTTTCTCGTTATTGAAAATATTTCTTAATATTATTAATATTTACATAATATTGTAATATTGTACATTTGTATGCCGAGTAAACTTAAAAACCGGCCAGTGATAGAGACTTTTCCATGCGGTCCGCAAGCAAAAGCCTACAGCCGTTGGAGCGAACCTAACCAGAAATGCTGAGCGTTGCCCACCCTTATATTTCACGTACAAATTTATCCAAATTTCTTTTTATAAATATGGTTTTTTATTAAGAACGAAGTCCCATTGATTACTTTAATTTTTATTAAAAGAATTTCTTTTAAAAGAATTTTTTTTCATTTTCGAATATTTAATATTTCCAGTATTTCGATGGTGTTATTTAGATTTTGCAATTTTAAAAAGAAAATTTTTTAATTTGATTTTGCACTGATCTCGTTTTTAGGCCATATTCTTATTTATAAAAAATAAAACTTTCATTCATTCCATCTTTCAAATACAAATTTTTGTTTAATTGTAAATCAAATCATTAAATCTTTTGAAATTATTGAAATTTAATTTTTAAATTATTAAAATGCCTTTTAGTTTAGTTTTAAACTTATTTTCTCAAATAAAAACCTTTTTATATTTTATTCCACATATTTATTTAATTTTAAGCCATAAAAAATATGATTTAATCATTTTAAATCGGCAAAGTAATTAGCTTTTTAATAGAAGCACTAATCGTTTTTTAAATAGCCTTTGGTATAGTATAGTTTTTCTTAATTGAATTTTATTTGCGTAATAATTTATTAATAATTTGTCTTTTTGAATTTCAGAAATATTAAGTAATAATGGAGAAGCTGTTGTAATACCATTTAAATATCTACCAATAGTATTAATAGTATTTTTCAGTATTTTTGTTATTGGTGTAATTTTTCCTCAGAAAATTTTAGATTATGAAAATGAAAGACATTTCGAACCTGGCGAGGATCCGTTAAAACGCACCTGGTATGCGCTTATCTATGATTTTAAGCGATGGAGGAGGCGATATTTTGAAGTAAGGAATCGATATGAGCAAAAATATTTTTTCAGTTTTCCATAGAATTTTAGAATTTTAACAGAATTTTAGGAAAATAATAGAATGATAAGGATGCTTAAGAACAGTATTTTTTTCGTTTTTGCTAAAAATTAAAAATTTTAGTTCTTTTAATTCTTAGTTCTGTGACATTGATTTGTGGAAATTTTTTAGGCGAGAAAAGATGCTTTTCGGCGATATAATCCGATAGCCCATATGAAGCGTGCTGTTATCGATTTGGAACTTTTCCCGTACAGAACGGAGGTTTATTTTTCATTTTTTCGATTATCTTCTTACTTCCTCTTTTTGTTCTTCATCTTTAAATATTTCTATTCAGTTTGGTTCAGTTCACTAGCGACTAGGTTAAGTTGTTGGGATTTCCTTTTTCGCACGGCAGTATGAAAGTCCAAGATTTAATCACTAGAACGTTGATGAATTTTTGGGAATTACCATTTAAGAAGAAAAGTCAATCGCATAGTTTCAAACTGTAAAGGAGAGAACTGACATCTGTTAAAAAATTTCAAATGATAGATTGGCATGGTTTTTATCTAAATATCATCGTTATATGAATTTCCAAAACATTTTTGGTCAAATCGAAACAACAAAGTTTTCAAAGCATGAAATAGTGTGCATAATGCCCCTAATAATATCCTCGGCTTGAAAATTTGCGTGCACTGCCATTGAGACCATTCGGAAACGAGGCAAATAAATCTAAAAAAATAGATATGTTTAGTAACCCTCGATAACTCATAGTTTTTCGTGTTGTTTGAAAAAATTTAATCTTTTACCTTCATCTGCTTTTTCATTTTCGTGTTTTTTTAAAGGTTTTGATAATTGGCGGTGGTTTAACAGGTTCAGCAACAGCATATTGGATAAAGGAATTTATGAGAGATGAGGATTTTAAAGTGGTTGTTGTGGAGAACAATGATAAGGTATTTTCTAAAAATATGTTTGTTATTTGCTATAATAAATCTAACTATCGCAGTTATATGTTTAGTTAATCAGAAAATTTAAATCGTTCTTCATTTAAATATCTGAATTTTGCTGAATTTTTTGGAGATCAATTGATTTTCAATAAATTCAGTTCGCACAAAGTTCTACAATGCTTTCTTGTGGTTGTATTTCACAACAGTTCTGTGTACCCGAACATGTTGAAATGTCAATGTTTACCACTGAATTTTTAAGGCATGCTGGTGAACATCTTCGAATATTAGGTTATTTGTTATTTGTTATTTAATAAAATTAAATTCTCGCATATTTTGTTAAGTTTTCTTTTGGTAGTCGCAGTTTGATGTGGTTAATCGTCTTTTTATTGTATATATTTAATTTTTTCTGGAAATTTAAGAAAAATGTTTGGTTTAGATAACGAGCCTCCGGATATCAACTTATTTCCCATGGGTTTTTTGCGGCTCGCAAGTACAAATGAAGAAGCAGATCGTTTGCGAGAGAGTTGGAAGTTAACAGTGTAAAACTTTAAATTTGCTGATTTGTAGACTCACTTTATTTAAATAAAATATTTTTTTAAAATTTTTTGAGATTTTTGATTTAATTTTTTTATTTTCAAATAATTCCAGTGGAAAAGGCGCAAGAATTTCATTATTAGTACGTGATGAACTTGAGAGGCAGTTCCCATTCATGGATTTTGATGATATTTTGTTGGGCACATTCGGTACTTTCTCATTTCTTCCGATTTTGACTTACTTTTTTTTTAAATAGAATTCATATACATTGGGAAAGGTTGATGCAAATTTATGGGTTTTCTTGAATTCGTTGATTTTAATGTTCATAAATTTTATAATTTATAATTATGCATCATTAATGCAACAAAAAATATTTATTTAGGTCTTGAGAATGAAGGAACAGTTGATTCATGGCAGTTACTTTCAGCCATTCGCGAAAAAAATATAACGTTAGGCGTTCAATATGTAAAAGCAGAAGTTGAAGGTTTGTGAATTTTTCTTCAATAAAATAATTTTTTACAGGATTGTCACATAATTTCACCATCTTTTTTAATAGTCTTCATAATATTTCCAACACACACACTTCTTAATCTTCTCGGGCATCGTGACCATTAAGTTTTATATGAGCCAGTATAAATGAATGCAGAATTCAAAAAGACAACAGCGGTTCAAAAATATGAAAAGCTGGACAATGTCATATCCAAACATGATCAATGATCATAAGAAAAGAAAACCGTCAACTACTGGCAAATAACCTCCTTCTCCACAATATGTAAAATTCTATCAGGTATCGTAAGCTTCATAACCATATGAGCCAGTACATGAGTCCAAAAAGGAATTGGGAAGAACAGCAGAGGTTCCAAACACCATTGCTTATAGAGAGAAAGATAGTCGCTTAAGACCAACACAACTTGATTTGACTTTAGGAAAGAATATGATAAAATGCCCAATATATGGTTCTGTGAATATCGGGCTCTGTACAAAGTTAATAGGATTCGAAAGACGTTCATCAAGAACTCAATGGGACGATGTTTGAAGTCAACTCAAAAAATCTTGCACAATGGCTATCAAATGCGATATATATATCAATGTATCACATTGTCCCCGTTGTCTCCTGCATAAGCTTAATTCCCCTTAGCGAGATAATCACACAAGAGCAAGACGGAACTGCTATCAGCCATCTTTTCTACATGGTTGGCATTAAATTATATGCTCAAAGCAAATGAGACATTGACTTATTTATTTATCTAATACGAATCACCAGTTGAGGGCATTGAAATATCACTTGTGTTGGAGGAATTTGACCTGATGATAGCTAAAAGAGGGACGAGACAGCTGGTGGAGTGGTAAATGGTATAATAAATCAGCTAGAAATATCTTACTATTTCACAGCCACATGGCAACCACAAAGAGGTAGCAAAGAAACATTAACATTTAAATATCGTCAAAAAATACAAGTCCTAAATAGCCAGTTCTTTGGGAAAAATAAAATCCGTAAACATAAACGCCCTCCCAGTCATCAGATGCACAGCCGGCACAATGAGATGGAGGCAAAGGAAGACATGGAGAATGCTGATTGAGACGGGGGAACTCCCAATGCATGCAAATTTCCACTTCAAGTCTAATATCAAAAGGCTGTACACTAGCAGGAACGAAAGTGGATGGGGCATTCAGGAATGCATCATCAAGGTGACACCAAAAGACAAGCTGTTAAAAAAAAATTTAAACACTGGAACATCCACAAACACTGGAAAATGGCCAAGCGGAGGAGACACCATAGCAAATCAAGTTCCTACATGGGTTGTACCATTGACAGATACCTGATATAAGAAGTCCTGCTAATGATTAGAAAAAGTAGGACAAGACGGCACTGAGGCATTGATCGTGGCAACAGAAGGAACAAATTGGCAGGAATTTGCCAAAATATAATACAATGTTCATAATATGCAAAAATGTCTCAGAAACAATCCAGCATGGTGACAGGATGTAAAATATAAAAAATGTAAAAGGAAACAGTTTAAATTGAAAAGTATAACCAAGTAGCTGGCATTATTGGTAGTAATACCTGCTCAATGGCTTAGATTCTCCCAAGACCACACAGGAGATTCGTTAGATAATCATAGAAAAAATAAGGCGAAGATCCTTTCGGGCCTCTTCGTGCAAATAATGCTGGCCAGTCAACCAGATATCACAGTAATAGGCAAGAATCAGAAATCAGCACATGTACCAATATTAAGCGACAGGAATTTCAGGAAGAAGGGATATGAAAAATTAGATAAATATTAAGGACTGAAAGAGGATTAAAGATGTGGAAAGTAAAGTGATAATTGAACGAGGAACTGTGATTACTAAACTAAAAAGATGGCTTCAGCAGGATCAGAGATCAAGAAGAGCGCAACGGCAATAGCCAAAATGTTGCGCAAAATCCTAAATTTCCCAAGTCTCTGGTACAGGATTCGAGATTAAGGATAATCCTTACCACCCACAGAAGACGAGAAAAGGATCTATTTTCCATATATTTCAAAGAAAGAAAGAAAAGTTCTAAGCATTGTTAGAATTATTTTCTAACCTTTCGGTTTATTTTTGTAAATTATGAAATTTTTGCCAACGATCCGAAATGAGCCACAAATCTTATGAAAATTGAAAAATAACGAAATTAATTATCAATACGACTGTAGATGAAATTATGATAAATTATGATGAACCCTGTGTTTAATAATGCTTCGAATTATTTTATAATTTGTCCTCGATCTTTTATGTATCATTAGTTTTCATTAGGATTTATGTTCGAAAGGATGTATTCATTCAGGGAAGTACATGGATTTGAGGATGATGAAATAGCTGATGAACGCAAACGTCGGCAGCAAAAAATTATTGGAGCTTATGTTAGTTTTTTTTTGTTTACTATGTTAGCATTTTCTTTATTAGTCGTAAAAAAATTATTCAGATCTATTTAATGCTTTTTGTATTCAGGTTAGGCCGCAAATGACTGATGCATCGGCAAGACCAATTCGAACAAATTTCATTGTAAATGCAGCTGGTCCTTGGGCTGGCAATATTGCTGAAATGGCAGGAATAGGTTTATTTTTTGAGAAATTTTCTATTAATTGACTGAAAATTTGAATATTGAAAAAATTTAACTAATATCTAATTGAATAAGTTAGTAGCTTTTTTTCTATTTTAGGTAGTGGGACAGGTTTATTAAGCGTTAAGCTTCCAGTTGTTCCACGAAAGCGTATGTATTTTGTTATATATGTGCCAGACGCTCCACCAGTTGATATGCCAGCTTTAATAGATCCTAGTGGAGTTTACTGTTTTCAAGAAGAAATTGGCAACACTTATATTTGCGGTAAAAATCCGACGAAAGTAGCCTTTTTGTTTTTGTATTATCCACTCTTTTTAAGTCGTTCCTGTTTATTATTTATGCCTTAATTCAGGAAGAAGATGAACAAATCGACCATAGCAATTTAGAAGTTGATTATGATTACTTTTACGACAAAATTTGGCCTGTTTTAGCTAAACGTATACCATATTTTCAAAATCTTCGGGTTCGAATTAATTTTGTTAAGATCTTCTATTTTTTTGTTTTGAAATTTGTAAGATTCTTTTAAAATTAAAATTATTTCATTGCTCAAAATATTAAATTGGCCGGTATTTCTGTTTTAGATAAAAAATGCGTGGGCTGGTTTCCATGGCGTGAATATATTTGATAACTCACCCGTGATTGGCGAGCATTTGCTTTATAAAAATTTTCATATGATTTGTGGGTTTGGCAATCGTGGATTACAACATTCACTTGCTGCTGGTCGAGGTTTTGCTGAAAAAATATTACACGGTGCGTATCGAACCATACGTTTGCGTAAATTTGATATGCGAAGGATATTGATGCATAAAAAAATTAATGAATATTATTAGGTCATTGACGCGTTTATTCTAAGTTTTTTTCGAGAGTTTCTATTGTACAAATGGCACTTCACTGCTTATAGTTAGAAGCACATTGATTGAGGATGGAACTTTTACTTATTAGTTAGATTTCAGCATTTTTGACGTTTGTTTTTATGTTCAATTTACTCTTTAATTATTAAGTGAAAGTAATTTAGCATTTATCATTCTTAGTTACTTCACTGGTTAGGAAAATTTTTGCCATAGAATCACTTGATAGATAGAGATTTCGCCAGGATTTTTTAATGATGGTGTTGCATATAGTAAAGACAAGTGCCGAATAACAATTCTTGATGACAATTTAATGTCAAATTTTGGCCACCTTTGATTATTAGAGGTGATTAAAAATTTTAGAGAAAGTTATAACAGTATAAAGGTCCGCTCACGTAATTCCATTTTTTTCTATTGTAAGTTTTTATGCATATGAATATTTTTTGCATTATTTTGAATTAAAAATTGAAATTTCCTTTGTATTGTATTATATTGTAATTGTTTCTTTGTTATAACTTTGTTTTCAAGTGCTTTTTAAACTTTTTAATATTTGTAAGAAATTATTTTTTATTTAGAAATTTATTTTGGAAATACTTCAAAATTCATTGTTTTATAAAAAATTGATAAATCAATGTGTTTAAAAATTTTTGCATGTATCAAGAAGGAATCATTAGTTTCATCTTTTGTGAAATGAAGTATCTAATTCTGCAATTTTCAATTTTCTTATAATCATCATTTATGTTATTTTTTATTATACTTGTAAAAACTTGACAAATGGCTCGAAATCCTTGCTGTTACTCTCTATTTTCGAAAAATAGTATATTGGTTTTAAATTGTCTGCAATTAGTGGAAAAACTACCTTTTTCTTGTTTATAAGGTAATTGGCACTATAATTCTTTATGTTTATAATTACTTATCAATTTCTTCGGTTATCTAGGCAGATGAAACAGGTAAGTCAGATTTTTGTTGACTTTGTAGACATAATTTTTCTTTGAAATTATTTTTTAATTCATTATTGCCCTAGGTATGGAAGAACCCGATCGCAAGAGGAGTAGAACCTCGAGTGAACATACAGAAGAAACTGCTGAATTGCCAAAAGGATGGGAAAAACGGATGAGTCGTTCAAGCAGTAGGTTTTTAGGTTTTTTTAACCTGAATTTTTATACTTTTTATCGCATTTTCGATTCGATAATATACGATTCTCGTTTTGTTTTTGAGGTCGCACTGAATTTTTCGGTATAAATAATAAAAAACGGTAAAAGTGACGAGGACAATTTTAATTAATAATAATGATAAATAAATTTATCATGTTTATTTGATTTTTAATAACATATCGGATGAACTCGTTGGAATTGACAGCGTATAGGTTTATTTTTGTAATTATCAATTTTTTAAAATTCTTTATCCAGTTTTTCCTGCTACTTGACATGCTTACAAATTCGATATTTTTCGGTTTTCTGGTCCATCGCAAGGCAGCTTTGGCAAGGCCTCGCACTTTTACTGTGCTCTCTTTCTCTTTGTTCTTTCACCTTTTTTTTCACTGCCATCGCATTACTGTCTCATTAAAGAAGTATTATTTTTAAATTAATATTGTAAATCAAGTCAATGAAAGGTATATATAATATTGCCATGCCATATACCAAGTCATTTTATGATATCGTTTTCAGAGTCGCCGATGATTATAAAATATTTTAGATCAATTCTATTATTTTAATGTCTTTACGGGCCGAAGTCAATGGGAACGGCCAACAAAACCTGCTGATCCTGCACAAGCTAATTTGAAGGAGGTTAGTCACATCTGTTGCTACTATGAAATTTTTTCTTTTGCCGGTACATGGTAGGATAATAAATAAATGTCCTTTCCTTGGCTGCTTTTTGCGAGACAACATTGAGATTCAGTTATAATGCAAATAACAGCATTTTTTCGTTTTAGGTTCATTGTGCTCATCTATTAGTAAAACACATTGGATCAAGACGGCCATCGTCATGGCGATCTGATGTAATCACAAGATCGAAGGAGGAGGCCCGAAATATTTTAATTGGTCGGATTTTATTTCCATTTACATCCATCAGAAACTATTTTTATAAAATTGTTTATTTACTAAGTAAAATTTTATGGATTCTGACAACGAATTTTTGTTAATTTTAGATTCATACGTTCATTTTAAATAGTATATTGTACGTAATAATTAGCCAGTCACGTTGATAACATTGTAGGCTATAAAAAGCAAATCGAGGAAGCTTCTGATAAAAGGACGAAATTGAAGGAGTTAGCAAAAGAATTCAGCGACTGTTCTTCGGCAAAGCGGGGTGGCGATTTGGGGACTTTCGGACGGCGTCAAATGCAAAAACAATTCGAAGATGCAGCATTTTCTTTAAAAGTAAGTTCTTTTTCTTGTAATAAGATTAATTCAATGAAAAATGACAAATTAAATTTCAGGTAGGCCAACTGAGTGATATTGTAGAAACTGATTCAGGACTTCACCTTATATACAGACTAGGTTGATATAATCTTAACTGTGAAGTTTAAAAAATTAAATTAAAAAATAACTGCTAAGGTAAACAATTAAACACATCAAGATCCTGGGTTTTCTCATTTCATTTAAAAACATTTTGTTTATGTATCATTTTCTATCATTATTGAAAATCCCATAAATTTGAAGCGACCATGCTTTAAACATAAAATAACTCGAGGCCCAAAGAGGAAAATGCAATCTAAATTTCTAAATTGACTTTGATATCCTTAGCATTTTAACGGGAAGATTGTTTATCACAGCAATTAATTTTAAGTTTTTTGATTTATTATTATTATTGTCTTTGTCGTTTTAATTACTCGATTATTGTTTGAATCATCGAAAATTTCTATTTATATTAAAAAATAAATATTAAAACGGGTTTCCTGTTGAGCCTTTATTCCCTTGTATAAGACCCTTTTCTGATAGTGAAATATCAATTTCCCAGCTATTTTTTATTCCCAAAGTGGAAAAAATAATGAAATGCCATCAAAAAAATTTAAAACAATTCATTCGAAGTAAATATCAAGAAAATCGGCCAATATTAAGCTTCTTAAAGATATTAATAACGGTAATCTGATGTTTACCATGCAAGCAAGCTATGTACATACGAAAGTCAATTGATTATATGATCTTGGTTGTCAATCATAAACCCCAAAAACGATTTCCTGCTAACACCTAATACCCTGAGCGACCATCATGAAAACGCCAAACGATCCACCTGACTGTGCTGCTATTTTTCCTACTTGGGTAAGAAATTCTTTTCCTCTCAATCCCATTCTGAAATATACGATTAGATCAAAATTCAATTCAATTCAAAGAAATTCAAGAAGAAATTCAAAAAACCACAGTGAATTTTTTTTGTTTTATAAAATAAGAATCGATAACCATGAAACCATAACCATAAAACGACGGAAAAATTAAATAAAATTGATTTTTAGGCAATGATTGGGTGAAAAAGCAAAATCTAAATTATTTGCAATTATTTTTAATTGATAGTGCAAAAAACTGACTTATAGGCACCAAATGATCCTAAAACAACACCTGTGGCACCACCAATCACTGCACCCATCATAAAACCGAGCTTTAATTTTTGCCAACAGGTTGGCTGACCAGTTGAAAGATGTGATTGAGGCACTGGCATTTTATCAACTAAAAAATTTAATATTATACTTAAACTTATGCGAAGGATCGAAACTACGGGCTGTTAAATAATTTAAATTTTTATTAAATCAACTGACAGTATATGAACAATGTATATAAAAAATTCGATTAAAAATTTTACGAAAATTATAAAAGAAAAGTTATAAACCGTTGGTTAAACCAGTAAATTTTTTTCTTTCAACAACACTTTAACATTTCTGGCCATGTTGGTCCCCTTAATTATAACTAGAGAAACGTCCTCTCGAAAGACAGTCACTTGAAAATAGAAATTTTCTACACCACCCGAAACAAAAACCTCAATAGAACCGACACCACTGGACCACCCTGCTAATTTTTTTTATCACCATTTTATGTTGTAAAAACTTTTAAACAAATAAAAATCTGTAGGACAAGTCGATTAAATTATTTTGTTTTGTAATTTTTTTCCATATAATTTCCTTTTAATTTCTACAGCTCAATATCGGTTTTCTGTAAAGATTTCTGAACAATCTTGAAGTTATATCAATTTATTTAAAAAAATTCAAAATAAATATTATCCATAAAATTTATTATTAAAAAGAATTTCACAAATAATTAATGAAGTCGGCAATATTAAATTATCACTAAAATGACGATAATCACCTCATCTTTTTACAGTGTTCAATATTTTTGCGTTAGCTGCTTCAACTCATTACTAGGTTGAGATCATTTCGCTATGATGTCACTTAAAGGCGAAAGAACGGTGGAGTTCCCCGCACCAATCAGAGCATTTTAAATCGCTATTCTTCATTCTACTTTTCTCATATAGATTTTGCAGCGTTTTATTTTTTCATCTTTCATGTTTAATGTTTTGATACCAATATATGGCTTTATATCTCGCTTAATTTCCTCGAAAATAAAGTAAACCATTCCTTAATAAAAAAATCTTATTAAAAGATCCTGGAAATAAGTGTGACCTGTTCAATAATTGTCGTATCTTTTCAACAGCTAGTATGATGAGTCGCGACTTGACAATCGTCACAATTTTAAAAATTTTTTTCGCAAAAATCTGAAAAATGCTAAGAAAAATTCGCAGTTCCATGAATAGGACGATCTAAAGAAGGTCGTATAAACTATTCTTAAATTTTTTCTAATCGAAGTAAACCAAGATAGCATTTTTCTGAATGAATTTTCAGTTGAGCAAAAAATAAAAGAGGGGTGTGTATTTTTGCGCAAACCAGTGTTTCACACATCGAACGCCCTTATACATTTCTTATATTATATTCCTCATTCCAGTACTATTGCACATACTGCATATATTGCACATTTTAACTCTTATCATTTCCAGTGTTATATTTTATGCTGTTACGCCTACTGCTTCATCAAAAATTGATATTTTTATAATTACTTCATCGGTCCTTATGAGTCAAATTCGTCAGGAGGCAGTAATACGAAATAAGATATGCTCGCAATCCTGGATGATTATTCAGAATCCATCAAGATAAATGGGGACCTATCCGTTAAAGTTTATAAGAGATGCTGCCTGGAACGCTTATGGACGTTGCAAGCCAAGCGACCACTGTCCACACCTTTTCTAAATATTGCGTGGATGTGGCTTGTTTGTCGGAGATCATTTCAGTTTTCGAGTAATTATTAAAACTGATTCCAATCAAAGGTACTGGATTACTGTGGTGTCTGGGATAATGCGAAATAGTCTTGTGTGAAAAGGCTCGATCCGCTATGACTGAGTGGAAGCCAATAAATGATCATATGGCATACGCGCGTTTCGAAGGAAAGTTCTGCAATATTTCGGTCATCACTATGTACTTATATGTGCTTCAGCTCTATGCGCAAATGATCCCGAAAAGAAAAAGTTTTATACGCAGCTTCAAATGTTATTAATATCAATAATTGTAAAAAGATTTTGATATGGTCATAAATGGGGAAGACTGGAATGCGCGCGAAGACTGGCAACCGTCATGGATCAGAAAAGGTTATGGTTCGAGCCAAGATTCGTATAAAACTGATAAGTCGTAAGAAATCCCAAGATCTTTCAACTAAATTAAATTAAATTAAAAGATCCGGGGCAAAAAAAGCGCACTCCAAACCGTATAACTGGAACAGAACTTCAGTGAAATGCATATTAATGATATCTCTGGAAAGGCGAATAAATACTGATCCCAACTAAAGACATGCCTACAAAAGTTAGCCACTTCCACTTTAGGGTACATTAGTAGGAGATGTGCTAGTTGGGTATCGGAAGCAACTATTTGAAAAAGCTGCCCGAATGTCAGGAGACCCTGATTATCTGGTGCTTCAAAGGATTACAACGGCGGGACGGAAATTGCTATTGGAGCAATATGGCCTTGAAAATGGAGAAAACGGCGGCTCAGATAGGTGATAATAGGAAACCTTTGTTACGCCTTCACAAAGGCAACTATAACTCGAGAAGGGATCGGTGAAATGAAATGGAATATTAATGGGGTGCCTTTTAAAGTTGTTAAGGATCGTCTCAGAAGATGGAAAGAATTTTTTGGAGCCACTTAACCATGATGCACCATCTGTTGTCCCAAATAACTGATTCGTCCGTCGAGCCTTACATTTGCAACTTTGGACCACCAACAGAAGAGGAAATAATCTCTGTAATCCATAAGCTTAAGCTCAGTAGAACTCCTAGAGATATTCTTCGGGCCGAACTCTTCTAATGTTGTCCATCTTCGTTCATAACTTATCTTCAACAGACGCATTGTCTACTATGGCAAAACGAAATAATACCAGAAGAATGGAGCAAAGCAATTCTGCTTTCAATTTCTATGAGAAATGACAAGACGTACTGTGACAATTCAGCCTGTTAGGGAAGATTTTCGCTTCTCTTACTACTAAATAGACTCATGGCAACACGAAATAGCAGAATGCGTCCTAACCATACTAGTTCAGATCGTCACGCAGTTGTATTGACCAGATATTCGCGCTAAGAATGGTGCTGGAACATCGTTTCAAATACATGCAACTCGGCGTCACTTGCTTTATCGATTTTGCAGCTGCTTTCGATTCAATTGATCGAGTATTGCTCTGGAAAGTGATGAAGTGATGAAGGATGAAGTTTAATGGTGTCCCGGAGGAAAATCTACCGGCCCATAAAGGCATTTTATCAGTATGCATTTATACCTTGGCACAGGTGTATAGATCTGTATATAAGGAACTGACTAACCCTTTCGAAATAAAAACTGTATCCGTCAAGGATGCGACCTTTCATTACAATATTCAATTATGCGATAGACTGCATAATGGGTATCGATTGTCGGCACTCAAGAGATATGCAAATCAATTCACAGCATAGTATCTTCTTTTTCTTCTTCTTAACAGCTCTGAGCATTACTGGTTAAGCTGACTACAAGGGTAAGACTCCAAGTTATTCGATCCGACGCCATCGCTAATAGTAATAAAAGCCATTCCTTTTTCCACCGTCTAAATCCATATATCGCTGGTCTCCCTTACACGTTCAAAATCTTTCTTAACTGTATCAGTCTTATTGACTCTCCTCGCTTTTGGCGTCAATCATCACAAGGCAAGAGGCAAAATGTGCGTCAATTCCTGTGGTGGACGATGGAGAACGCGTTCAATCGGTGAAGCCGACACTCTGTGAAAACATTATTATTACAGGTGGTATTTGAACGAAGATGGACACAATGGAAGATGGAAGATCATGTACGATTTTATCCGTTCTCGTAAAATGTACCTTACATATGAGCAGTCAAAGGCTGATAACTTCTTGATATTTTCCATTCCCATTGGTCATGTTTCGCAGCCATATAGCAAGATCGAGCGAATTTATGGACGCGGATTTCCGTCATTATGGTGATATTGCGACGGTTCTATAACGGTTTCGTCAATCAAAAATACATTTCTAGCTATCATTATCCGAGTTACAATTCCACTTATCAGCGTCTTATATAGGACGAAAATATTTTCGTTTTATTTACATTGATTTTGAGTCCACTGGTCCAGTTGTCGACACATTTAAAATTATTTGTATTTCATTATAACTGTCCGCAATAATGATGTCATCAGCGTATTCATGATGCTATGAGTTCTGAATTGATTTGCACACCTCTTAAGTGCCGACAAGCGATGCCCATTATCCAGTCTATCGCATAGAAGAATATTGTAGAAGAAAGGATGCAGCCCTGATGGACACCAGTTCTCATATCGAAGCAATCTGTTAGTTCCCCATATATGCAGACCTGTGTCAGGGTATGCTGACAAAATGCCTTTATGAGCCGAATGATTTTCTCTGAAACACTATTATATTCCATCACTTTCCAGAGCGCTGCTCTATCAAGCGACTCGAACGGAGTTGCGAAATCGATAAAGCAAGTGATGGTGAGTTGCTGGTATTTGAAGCAATGTTCCAGCATCCTTCTTAGCGTAAATATCCCGTCAGCACAACCGCGTCCCGGTCTGAATCAAACTTTGTTAGGACGCATTCTGTTATCTCGTGTTGCCATGAGTCTATTTAGCAGAAAGAAAGGGAAAAGAAGCGAAAATTTTCTCCCGAACAGGTTAAATTGTCGCAGTAAGTCCTGTCACTTCTCATAGAAATTGGAAGCAGAATTGCTTTGCTTTGCTCCATTCTTCTGATATTATTTCCTTTTGCCATGCGTCTGTTGAAGATAAGTTATGAACGAAGATGGACAACATTAGAAGAGTTCGGCCCAAAGAACATCTCTAGGAGTTCTACTGAGCTTAAGCTTATGGATTACAGAGATTATTTCCTCTTCTGTTGGTGGTCCAAAGTTACAAATGTAAGGCTCGACGGACGAATCAGTTATTTGGGACAACAGATGGTGCATCATGGTTAAGTGGCTCCAAAAAATTCTTTCCATCTTCTGAGACGATCCTTAACAACTTTAAAAGGCACCCCATTAATATTCCATTTCATTTCACCGATCCCTTCTCGAGTTATAGTTGCCTTTGTGAAGGCGTAACAAAGGTTTCCTATTATCACCTATCTGAGCCGCC